ACACAGTGTCTTTACGTATATCATTTGTATCATCTCTCTACACATCAGTTAGTTTCTTATTTTTTCCCTTCGCCATGTTTAAGTCAAACTAAACCACAAACTAAAGTACATTTGGTCTAATATTTACTAAACAGACAAAGGCATGTGTGGGGAGTATCGTCATTGGTGGTACCTTTGCAGCCAAACGGTCCACCCTGATTTGCTCAGGTGAATTGGGATGGGAACTCTACTAGTCACGGCCTACAAACAACTCTCTCTAAGAATTCTCATGTGCACTGCGACGGACAAACAGTGTTCAACAGCATCGACCTGCCAGCTAAATTGTGTGAGAGTAGACAGAAGCGTTTCCTTACTTGACTGGTGAAAGGGAATGTCTTTCTGTAACTAACCTATGCCAAGCGGCCATCGGTCGCTAGTCGCCAGCCTGAGCATAAGAGCTGCTCCTCACAGTTCAACGGCTTTACGTTGACAGGACGTATATACAGGTTGTGGTCGACTTTCGACAAACATTGGTTACAACGACAGGTCGTAAATTGTTCTTCGTATTTCGAACTTTTTTTTGCAATCATTTTATTATTCTATAGGGAATTATTGTATTTTTTAAATAATTTTTTATGGTTTATTTACATTTAATATCATTCATAACTTCTCACTATACACTGTTCTATTTATTATTTTTACGTTTGTCTTGTCTAAATCATCACTGTAAACTACAACACAGCTGGTTTAATATTCGCCCAACACTTAAAACAAATTCTAAATATAGGTACTAAAAACATGTTTTTTAGTTATAAATTTCGATCCCATAGGTACAGAAACCTTTGCAGCTTTACAAATTCTTTGTCTGTCCTTCAAAATCGTCGACCAACTAGAGTGCGATAACTTCAGATCACCTACAATCATATTTACTTTCTTTTCAACTAGAAACTGTTTATTCAACCGAATAATATCAAAGAAACGTTAATATCAAGGGCGCAAACTAACTAGATGTGTTTGTACCGAGGCCGCCCCGTCACTGAACTTAAAGAGCGGGAGAGAAGGCTGGCGCTGCTGGAGGCTAGGTTGGAAATTGTTGTACACCAAATTGGGAAATACTCACTCTGGCAGACGCGGAACAATGGTGGCCAGACGGCCAGAGATACCATGGTTGGAAAGTAAGTCGAACAGTTGGGTGTCTGTATAGTTAAAAATTATTAGACGTATAAAATCTTTGAATGATTTATATGAAATATAGCATTTCTACTGACGTAAAAAATGGAGATGAGTATGACAAACACTGTGCTTATTATATGTTTGAGGATAAACAACGATTTATTGGTCCATACGCTAATTTATTGGCAAAATGATAGTGCTTTCGGTAGCTGGTACAAAATGTGGAATGTTAACTCGACATCTGGGTGTTTTTTGTCGAGACACCATCTCTAGAAAGACAAATTGACAGGGACATCGTCTTATTCTGTCTTCTTCCGGAACTGTCCTCTCGGGACTTGACTTTTCCAGACACAGTGTCAGGAGACTCAGAGTTGGATATTGTCGATCTGGGGATTGCAATACAAGAGCGAACAGTGTAAAAATGGATTGTCAATAGAGATCCGACGAACCATAAAGAGGTCGAAGGATGATGAAGCTAATGGAGAAAATAAAATGTACACATTATTCGACGAATTCTCATCTTTATTGACACAGGTTCAAGCCTGCACACATTGATACGTACATATAGTGTCTGAAGGCGTCTTCTTGGTTTCATGTTTTCCAATGACTTGAGGCGGAACAACTACATTGATGCAACAGCTGCATCTACTGCAAGGAAAGTCGGTCCACTGTGCCGTGCCAGATGGTTTTCATCAGAGTCCATCTTACACATCGACCATACATTCAATATTGTTGCCATATCTAGTCTGGTGTCCCTGCTGTTCACCTCGAGATTCTTGACAAAATGCAAAAAAGAATCTGAAATGTAATTGGTCCTTTAGTCACTTTCTCATACAAGTGATGTGGCTTCCCTCTGTCTTTTCTGTAAGTATTTCCATGGCAACTGTTCTGATGAATAATCTTCTCTGATGTCCCGACTACATGAATTTCAGCATGCTTCTAGATTGGCATCTTTTACTGTTGAAATAGTTAAATGCAACCGCCACTTCTGCTCCAGCGTTTACCTTTCTCGCACTTCCCGACGTTGGAACTCCTTTCTTCTTACTTGCTTCCCTTATAACTACAATCTTCAAAAATTTAAATGCAACGTCAAAAAAAAAAAAAAAGAAAAAAAGCAGAACACATTTAGCCTATTTTAAATAAACGTCTCTCTCGTATAAATGCTCTAAGAAGAGGAGATTAAACGAATATATTTGAGAACATCGTGGATGGTGAAAATAATGATATTGAACAATTTAATAAAAGTTTTCTTCATCTATATACTGTGTCTATTCGTTTGATGTCTCTTCACAATTCCCTGTTATTTGTAGTTCTTGTAGTCTTTCTTTTCCATCTCTCCTAAGCATTGTTTCGCTATCCAATTACTCAAGCTCGCTCGGTAAGTTAAACGTTGTTTTCCTCTTACATTTTTGTCCCCAAAATGTACTATGAGCAACAAAATATTCTTCTTTCATTATTATGTGCCCTAGAAATATCAACTCTCTATTTCTGATGTTAAATTTTCTACAGACAGCATGTGAAAGCACGTGTGATACCCTGCCCTTGTCAGCCATCAACAACGGGAGGTAAAACAGTTTCGGTGTCTAAGGCGGTATTGCCACCTCTGGTGCTACCAACAGCTTTTGTCACCGGACAGGCTATTGTTTTCTTTCTTTTTTTTTTGTCTTAGTCTCTTGCGATTTTTCGAAACTTGTGTTAAAAGCTTTTGCTTTTGTTTGTTAACCTTTACACTCGTAGTGATCGTTATCAATGACATAGAATGGAATGCAAACAGCTGCGTTTCATGTCGGAAGTAGCATTGTGTTGCGAGCATGGTTTTAATTAACTTTGTTTATTTGGGATCTTGACCAGATCCAACACGATTCCTGTTGAACTCTGGTCAGCAGACGATGTGAAGCATTTATATATAAATGTCTTTTTTGTTTCCATTTTTCTAAACTTCGCCTTTTCTCACAGGTTCGGTCTATGGCATCCTCAGCATCTGTTTCTGTTAAAAGTCTCAGGATATTCTTAGTGTTGTTTTTATGCTGCCTTTTTTTCAGTCTTTATATCTGTATAAATAAAAGATGACAATGTCTAAAAATTTCATTTTTTAAATAATCGTCTTTTTTCATTTATTATGTCGCCTTTCAAACGACATTTCTTTTATCTAAATAAATGACCAGGGTAAAAAATCGTGCATTTATAATATGCGTTGTATATATTTTTATTATAAAATACTGAAGACTCATACATTACAGATGATACCGTATCTAACACTATCGAGTAAAAACTATAGTACACCCTCAGACGAAAATAAATATGTTATTTAATAAATAAATAATTCATCATCCACAAGGACGCGGAGTAAATTTGGACTCTATCGAGAATGGAATTTTTATGATGTCAACGACCATACGTTTGACACTTTTGTGATGCCAACGAATACTCGTTGTCACTTTCGAAATGCTCGTTGTAGTAGAGACTTTGTAATCGCAGATACAACTATAGTAACGCCGTTGAACAATGCTGGTGTCAGAGGCCCTCGAGTAACACTCGCACTAATTATACTTGCTTGATAATACTCGCTCGAATAGTATTCCAAATAGTGATCAGTACGGTGGAATAATTGATAGCGGCTCGGGTTGAGGAATTGAGTTCGAATTCCAGTCAAATCCATTACATTCACTTACGTACTATTAACCTTGGGAAAGGTATGAATCTTTTTCTTCTACCCCAGCTACGGGTAAATAGCAGGACAGATTGGGTTCTATAACCTTGGATGCCAACTGAGCTACCCAAGAAAGAAATGACAACCTACTGCGAGAAAAATCTGTCTCAAAAGTTACATGATCGCCTAAGCGTGTACCACTTATAGCACATAACTGACTGAATGCTCGTTGTAGTAGAGATTTTGTAATCGCAGATACAACTATAGTAACGCCGTTGAACAATACTAGTGTCCGACGCCTTCGAATATCACTCGCACTAATAGTTTTTCGTTACTTTATTTTTATGTGCCATGTTCTTTCAGGATGTAGGCACATTAAAGTGAAGTTCTGAGCAAGTTCCTTCCCTCTGCTTCTTCCCACAGACAACGTTCTCTCATCCACTTGCTGAAGTCAGCCAGGTATGTCACGGCTTGTTTTTCCTTTGACTCTCTTTCCCTCTATTCGACCCGTGAGTATCAGATTCTCCAAGCCTTCCGTTCCTCATTATGTGTCCCAGAAACTTCAGCTACTTCTTCCTGACATTAAGTATAAGCCTCCTTCCTGTTTGCAACCTCTCTAAGATCTCATCGTTACTCGCTCGAATAGTGATCCGAATAGAGAAATATTAAAATGAATAAAGTAGACAAACTAGAAATAAAGAATTGCGATCCATATAGTAATAGAGGTTAGGGTAGAACAGCGATCAATCTAGACATCACGTGACTTCCTATGTATGCGTTTCCTCTATGGCCACGTGATCCACTTAATTCAATAATGGGGTCGACTGTGTCTCCTCGCTAGCGAACTAGGTTCAAACTAAAATGGTGTCAGTGACACTTTATTCCTATATAACAAAAATTGAAGACTGTGGAGCTCATACAATGCCGTATAGAAAACAAAGGACTACCGGAATGTTTAAAATCATTAAGCTGCAGTAAATGTGACAATTCCGTTAAAGTGATATTGTCACATAAAAAAATCTGTCAAAAAGGGAAGCGAATACGCGTAAAAAAGGACATGGCCTAGGGATATATTAAGTATATAATTTGGGAGAACCGACGCCATTGTATTCGGATGATATTCAGTTGAATTTTGCACCTTTAGATGTGTATATGGAATTAATCAATCTGTGGATCTTTTAAAAAGGGGTACAAGCTGATGAATGCTGGGATTCCATACGGAGGAGGCAATCGAAGTAGAAGTCGCTTATTCGAATTAATATAACCATTCATATTTAATGGCAGAAAGCCACGAGAATTTATAATCAAAACAGTTTTCCTCTCTATTTCTCTCTCTCTCTCTAACCAAATTTACATACATATATACATACTTCTTTCTTTCTTTCTTTCTTTCTTTCTATCTATCTATCTATCTATCTATCTATCTATCTATCTATCTATGTATGGATTGATGGATGGATGGATGGGCGCGTGGCCGAGTAGATAGAACGTTCGCTTTCTGACCAGGAAACACAGGTTCGAATCTCAGCATAGTAGATTTTTCAGGAAGGAGATTTCCCGATGTTTTGTGTCGGAAGAGGACGATCCCAGCGTGCGAAAAGAGACTGAAAACCATTCCACGAGTTAACCCAAGCCTTGTAAGTGTAAATGAGTATACAGAATGGGGCCATCGATAGCCGTGCTAGCACGAAGTCACAAGACATCGTGACCGAGAGTTTGATCGTGTTGGTTTTGTTCAGATTGTTGATCATTCTAGATAAAACGATCTCTTCCAGAAACTGTAACTAAGGGTCTGCTCAGCATGGCTGCAGTATAAACCACATAAAACACAAATGAGCTTGCAATATAGATTGGCTCGCCGTCCCAGTAGAAGGGTGTCCTCCAATACAAGTGCTCAGATTTTATCTATCTAACGACGTTGTTGTTTATCGATTACAGGCTCTTCCTATCACTGTCACTTCGAAGAGTAACGTTGAAAAAGTGTGACAGAGTGACACACTGACATTTGCATTTTTATACACGCGTGTGTGTCTATGTGGCTTTTAGTGTATATATATATATATATATATATATATATATATGTGTGTGTGTGTGTGTGTGTGTGTGTGTGTATAAAGGTTTTATTTGTGTTTAGTTGTTTTGTTAGTAGGTTAGTCACTTTTACAACGCTTGTTAGATCATTTAATGTCAAGCATATCTAAGAGGTACCCAGTGTGAATTGACATTTATATATATATATATATATATATATATATATATATATATATATATATATATATGTGTGTGTGTGTGTGTGTGTGTGTGTGTAAACTAATACTACTATTATTTGCTTCCTTCTTAGTAAGTTAGCATGGGCAATTCAGTCTGCCATTATCTCAGAAAAATATTAAGCATGTACTCTGTTTATAATAGACAGTATTAACAATATTTACTGTCCTTAAAATGTAATAGAAAATATGTGTCGTCCGACAGGATCGAACCTCTATCCTACACGGAACCTTCATATAGCCTCATGGACTATACCATTTAGCTACAGGGGAAGAATCTAGTTATTGAAGTTAATTTTTTTTAAACAGCAAATTACCCAACATTTTTTCGAGCGCTCATATCTGCTCGAAGCGTGTCTTAACGTAAACAAATGACACCATATATTATGAAATGGTCTAAGTCTGAAAATTATTTTAATAAATTTTTGTTTATACGTTATTTTTAGAGATACAAATAAGTAAAAGTTCTGCTTATAATAAACAGTATTAACAACATTTGCTGGCCGGAATGATATTAATAATATTTATAATCATTATTATTATCATGCCACCATCATTACTATCATCACTACTGCTATTTATATCATAATTATTTGCTGCTACCGCTGTTATTACCTTTATCCTGTACCCTCAGAATTATTACCATTCCAATACTAACTAACACCCACCCCAACTGCTATCATTCTATTCATATTTTGCCACAGTCATTGCCCCCAATATTGTAATTATTATTTCAGTCTTACTATCCATTTATTTAATATTGTAATTGTTATATCATGCTTAGTATTTATCACCAATTTTACCATTACCACGGTTAAATTTTCAGTACTCTCAATATTACAATAATCACTATTTCGCTACCACCATAATTACCATCGAAGCATTAGTTTTTACAATTATACTCCCCTTCCCTATCAAAAATTAATGTCAATTTTCCGCATAAATAGGAATAAGTATTAGAAATTTCTACTATTTACATAAGTGTTATCGTCCACAACAAGTGAATAAGAAACATTAAAAATAATTGTCTATATTTCTGAGATGAGCTATTATGTACATTATTTACATTATTCGGACTATTGTCCTCATCTTTGTTGACATATTTATCACAACGTTTCGGCCTTTCAGTATCTGTCTATATTTCTGAGATGAGCTATTATGTACACTATTTACATTATTCGGACTATTGTCCTCATATTTGTTGCCATATTTATTACAACGTTTCGGCCTTTCAGTATCTGTCTATATTTCTGAGATGAGGTATTATGTACATTATTTACATTATTCGGACTATTGTCCTCATCTGTGTTACCATATTTATTACAACGTTTTGGACTTTCAGTATCTGTTTATATTTCTGATATCAGGTATTATGTACATTATTTGCATTATTCGGACTATTGTCCTCATCTTTTCGCCATATTTATTACAACGTTTCGGCCGTTGTACGCTCTAGCCTTCTTCAGGTGATAGGAATGTCCTCAAGGACACATGGCACAGTGGTTAAAGGTGTTGGTTAGATCCACTGACAGAACCCAAAGAGTGTGAGTTCAATACCTGGTTAAGGCAGTGGAGAACTTGGAGAGGGGAAGTAACACGAGATAAAAGATAAATGACATCCATTAAACATGGCACGTGGGACTGGAACAGTCTACCCCAGTGAGTGAAATAAAGGCTTCAGTTCGACATTCCAACCACCTGAAGAAGGCCGGAGCGTACAACGGCCGAAACGTTGTAATAAATATGGCGACAAAGATGCAGACAACAGTTCGAATAATGTAAATAATGCATTAAAATAATTTTTAAAAATATCCATCATAAACTCATACAGAAACCATTTACAGTATACAAAACCCAGACGGATAGTAAATATGTGTACTCGAACACGTGCATGTATGTGTGTGTGAGAAAGTATTACTCTGTGAACAAGTTGACACCAAGCTCACAACCCATAATTTGAGGAGAAAATTCGGAACAATTTCAACACCAAAAATCAACGCCCAGTTGCGTATGTATACACTCAACGACACGTTTATCCATATATGCGCCCAGTAATATACTGTTCATATATGTATATGTTTCGTATGAATTGCAATACGTACATATGCATGTGTGTGTGTGCGCGTGTGTCATCCGGAGCCCCTTACCGCCAAACAAAGAAAATATACAACCATAAATAGATTCAAAATTAATCAGTTTGTCTGACCATGGCACAAACTCACATCAACGTAACCATATATATATATATATATATAATGACGAAAAGAATTGCCCTCAAATGCATTGTTCTGACCTTGCTTGATCCAAAAAAGATGTTTAGACAGACCTAAGAAATAAATATTAATAAATATGCATATACCTACGTTTGGAGTGTGACTAAAGTTTCGTTGTCCTACCAACTCATCAGGCCCGAAATATTACGATTTTGTAATGAGATTTTACCATCACAAAATAATAATAAGCAATATGCAAATGTATATGTTAGCAATATGCAAATGCCACAGCGTTCTCAAACTTTTCTGGGATATTAAAACAGATGACTACACACCGGTAGTAAATTGGGATTTCGTCGCAAAATTTACACCAATATCCCGCCGCGGCGACCGATGCAGCCTGTGTTTGCTGGAAAAAAGATTCATCCTCAAAAATATTAATAATCTATATCTACTTAATAAACGAAATAAGCTAATGCCAGGTTGTAAACATACAAAGAGATTTCTCTGAAAATATTTTAATTCTGGATAAATATATTATCTAAATTACGCATTTATTTCCCATATTTTACGATTATAGTGATTACCCCTTATTAACTAGTTGAACGTCTAATATGACTTAACGTGCCAACCGGCTTTCCTCTTCTAAACTTAAAATTTTCTTTTTTTTAATTATTTTTTTTATAATGGTTCACTACCTACACCCTATTTTCTGTATTTACCTCCAATATTATATTTAAATTATTTTTAATTTGTCCTGTGAATCATAGAAATTAGCGTTTCTTCCATGAGACACAGTGTATTATATATTTGTAAAATCATTAGTAATATTTCGTACACTTCAGACCGCTCTAACCATATTGAGCACTGTTTTATTTACACCTTAAAGTAAATTTAGTAAATATTTATTTGCTTACCTGTGTATGCCCGCTAACGCGCGCATATACGGTTGATAATATCTAGTTATTTGATATACCCACCTCCGTCTCTCTCTCTCTCTCTCTCTCTCTATATATATATATATATATATATATATATATATATATATATTTAGCTGGATTGATGTGAGTTTATGATCCTTGGTTTCACGCTTTTGCGATCGTCAGACAAACTGATTATTTTGTTAAATTTTGGATTTATGTGGATTGTGTGTATTGGTGTCATAATGGAAGTGGGAGGAATACATATATACACTCTTTTCACACACGCACACACACACACACACACACACACACACACACATATATATATATATATATATATATATATATATATATATATATATATATATATACACGATCACACACATGGGGTAAATATATGACAAAGGAAAATGTTTTTTATTGTGACAGGTTTCGCCCTTAAAGACTTCATCGAAATAAAACTGTTACATTAGTGACAATAGTGAAGTTCTGAATGATGAAAATGCATCAAAAAAAACTTTTTCCATTTTGTCATACATTTTTCCCTAACATTGTTTTTTGATATATATAAAATTTTTTTAATATATATATATATATATATATATATATATATATATATATATAGATATATGTATAATATTTGTTCTTTAACATAAAATATTTGTTAAGTTAAACTTGCCTGATTGTAAATCTATCACCTTGCGATCACAAGAGATGGATGAGGGCTAGTGGCCCAGAACTTTGCCAATAATTTTTTCTTGCATTGTGTTCACATTCTTGTCGAATTAATATACACAGTTTTACTTTTTAATGCGCCACACCCAGGCCCATGTACCTATATCACCATATAGGTAAAATACATGTTGTGAATTATCTATTATAACTCATAACTGAATAACTCATAAGACAGAGTGAAAAAGACTTTTATCGAAATATACTCACATCATCACCGAGAAGGCATGTGAAATCGTTGGCGCATTGTTTTTTTTTTTTAGTGTCGAAATTAGTACGTATTCTTTTCGGCCAATTTGGCGACGATAAGCTGGTTCTTGTTAAAGGTGCCAATGATTTATTGGCAAGAGCGAAAACACAAGAATATCTGCTGCAATGACGAAGGCAGGGCCCAAAAGCTGTAAACGAAAGTGAAAGTAAAAGTACAAGAAAATAGAATCGCTACCACGAATATGATTGAAAGGAAGGCGGCGGCTGCTAGAGTGGGAGCGCTACGTTTTGCTTCCATTCTCCGCGGAGAGGCTGTCGTCTCTACTCATCAACAGAATAAACACAACACCTGAACGAATTGATAATGAAATAAAATCATCGTATTGTTGTCGGGCCCATTTCCCGTGTTCATTTGCAATTCTCTGGTCTAATTGTAATTAGAGTTTATGATAATTAAGATGAGTGTAAAACAGAGACGTGTTTTAATTATTTTTTTTTAATTTTAATTGTTTTATTTATTTAATTTCTCTTTTTCTTTATTTGTACGCGACTTCTATTTTTTTGTATTTACTTCAGTTTTAATTACTTTTTTTAAAAAAAAATTATTTTATTTATTGTTAGCCTCGATTTGTTTCTCCTTTTATTTCTCAATTTCCATTCTTTTTTAATTTGTTTGAAGCTTTCTTTGAAATTCCTTATTAAAATGTTTTCGCAAATTCTGAAACAAAGGAGGTCTTAATTATTCTGTAAATGATTTGGACTAATATCCTTGTAGGTCGTTAACAAATTGATTCTACCAATATGGCCTCTGGTGCTTGGGGTGTTTTCTAAGATTTCGAGATGGAGATGATTCATTACATTCTGAAATATTCGGAATAGAATCTTCATCGTTTTATCTAACAGAGCATTTGTGTTAAATATGGTTTTATAGAGTACAAAGGCCAGACATTATGTTGTAAGAACGGGTTTTTTGAATGGCTGTTAGAAATGTATTAAAAAAAAGCACACACACATTTTTATTATGTATTTCTACCCTCATTAACGTATTTTCATTCCTTCTTGCACTGAATGTTTATGAGGCACCTTTTTCGACAGGTATATATTCAAGTTGAAATATATATATATATATATATATATATATATATATATATATATATATATATATATATATATATATATATATATATATATACTAGGGATTTTCATATATATACACAGCTTTGGTCAATTTTATTTGATTTCATTATATATATATATATATATATATATATATATATATATATATATATATAAAAACACACTCGACTCTCCCGTTGAATTCGACGTATGAAGGTCAAGCAGATCATTTCCTAGAAAATCGACAGCCCGACAACAGCACATGAGATTTGATTATAGTGGTGAAGGTTTCGTGAAGGGTCGAATAAAGAGACCCGTTGCACTACGTGCCACAAGGTCCCCAAACGAGTCTCCGCAGGTTTTGAATTCAGAGCTGTCCTCCTTTTTGACCAGTTCCATCCAAGGCTATAGAACCCAGTCTGGCCTGCTAGTTACCCATAGCTGGAGGTTGAAGAAGAGGATTCAGCCCTTTCCCAAGGGTATTAACACGTAAGTGAATGTAATTGATTCGACTGGAATTCGAACTCGGCTCTCCGATTCCTCAGTCCAAGGCGCTATTACTCCACCCTCCTTCCTTCCTTCCTTCCTTCCTTCCTTCCTTCCTTCCTTCCTTCCTTTCTCTCTCTCTCTCTCTCTCTCTCTCTCTCTCTCTGTCTATATATATATATATATATATATATATATATATATATATATCTGGGGAGGAAGTGTGGGTTTGTAAACAGTGACTATTACGGCTAATAATGCAAGACTCTTCGGTAAATCGAATTGAGTTCTCTCGGTCACTGTGTGTTTATCTAAAAATAAATACACTTAAATTCACCTTCACCCCTGCCGGGCGCCAACGGCTTAGTGGTAGAATCCCCCGACTGACGCCAATTCAGTCGGGTTTCGATGCTAGCTAGAGGCAACCTGATGTCTAGCCACACTGATGAGCTGTGATGCAGCGAAACTGTTTGTCTGTGGATAAATATATATATATTTATATATGTATATATCTATATAAAATGTGAACATTGAAGTTAGCACTCAGAGACGACAGACTATTTCAAGATAGACACAATCAGGCGTGTTGACTTTAATGTTGTTTATTTTTATATTTATATACGCTCTATCCCTAATATTAAGCACTTTATTTCATAAATATAACACACCTTAAATCTATATTTCACGTCGAAATTAGTTCCTCTATTTTCGCCACTATTAACACGAGGATGGCCGGGGTGTCGTGTTCGACACCTTCAAATTTTCAACAAATTCCTATGGAATAACTAGTTTTGGTTCGATGGACAATTATTGAATTTTAGCAAAGATGCTTAACAGACTTAATTCTTTAAAAATATTCAGTGGAATAGTTGATATTTGAGGTTTTACCTTGAATGACTAAGGTGACGTTTTTGACACCTTGGCTATTTACAGCGTAAATGCATTGAAAAATTGAAAATAGTACTTGTGTTTATGTCCCCTATCTATCTATTTATCTATCTACGTATACACAAAAACACATAATTTATATATATATATCTATATACATATATATCTATATATATATATATATAGTTTATGCAGAACTAGGTAATACGTATGGGTAGACCCAAGGAGGATGATATCCAGAGAGCTCAATGTAAATTCAGAGCAAATAAATTTGAAAAAAAAAACAGACCATTTTAAGGTTCCATGTAATAAATTACTTCACCGCAGCTCTTTTGAAGGGCTCTGGATCATCAGACTTTACTTCCAAAGGTTGAAATGAAAAATGAAAAGCTCATTTTCATTTTTCATTTTTCATTTAAACATTTGGAAGTAAAGTCTGATGATCCAGAGCCCTTTAAAAGGTCTGAGGTAAAATAATTATTACATGGAAAACAAAATGGTCTGTTTTTTTAGGAATATATATATATATATATACATTTTTTTCAGTATGATGTATACTAATATTTGTGAATTTCTTTTCAGACTTGTTATTCCTGACTTGAATATTGAATATATTAGAGATGGCTGCTTCACGGCGTAATATAAGCTGGCCATCCTAGTGTTAAGCAACGTCGCGGTTAGACAGTACCGAGATGGGTGACCGTCTGCGAACACCAGCTTTTATAAGCTTTTATGTGCGGGTGGTGTAGTGAAGAATGCGTCGGAATTGTTAACTGGAGAACCGAGTTCCTATTATCGCCTGGTTCGCTTTATTCCTTTCCGCGAAAATACCCTTGGGAAAGGTATGGATCCACATCTTCTCCTCCAAGCTATGGGTTAATTAGTAAATTTTCTATCACTAAAACATTATTAAAATATACTTACGATCTCTGAATGTGTTCTTACTTTAAATAACCCGTAAAAACTATCAATTAATCACAGACGCAATACGAATATGCCATAATAATTGATGGAAATATGAACAGGCGACTAGAGGGTGGTCTGAAAATCTTTTCACCTCCTACCAAAAAGTATGGAGAACAAGAGACGAACAAGTAATACAAAGCACATGTACGCAATTCAGTTTATTAACATTCATCGACACTGCCACACACCGAGAAGGTCTGTATGAACAACGTCATTTTCGTGAAATAGAAGATTATATTATGTATAGGTGATAAGTCATTCGGACCAGCTTGTATTTTTCTCCTGATTACTCTTTTCTCTAACCATTCATTAGTAATGTTTCTCTTCCTAAATCTTCGTCGCCTGCTAACCCCTGGTGTCTTAGTCTATGTACTACCTTGTATGGGGTGAAACTGATTAAAAAAATGACTCCAGAGAGAATGCTTTCCCAATACCCATACGGCAGATAATAATTGCTTACATGGTAACAGTAACATAATCAGTTCCAATACCAATTATAATATGCTAGATTTGCTGCTAAGAACTGTGAGGTCTGTAATCTGGCAAGGAATATTTAAAAAAAGACTCATCATATAGGGTGTTCCGAAAGTCTTGTCACCTCCTACCAAAAAAGTAGTGAGAACAATAGACGAACAAGTAATAGAAAGCACATATACAGGATTCAGTTTATTCAATTTCCTTAACGCTGTTGCACATTGGGAAGGTTTGTATGAACACCATTTTTTTCGTGGGACAAACTGATGAGGCGCCATGTACTGGATTATATTTTACGAAGCACTACTTCATTGATTGTTGCAAAGGCTCTCCGAACTGCGTCCTTCAGCTAGTGGCTATTCTATTATTGTTCATGTGAAACCCTCTCCTTGTCAATACCCCCACAGGGCGTTGAAATAGAAAATTATATCATATAGGTGTGGACAATAATTTCGGACCACCCTGTACCTGTCTGATAACTTTGAAGTTGTTCGGGTAATAATAATAATAATAATAATCTAACTACCGCCTCAGGGACACATGTCACAGTGGATAAAGGCGTTAGTTAGATCCAGTGACAGGACCCAAAGAGTGTGAGTTCAATATCTGGTTAAGGCGGTGGAGAAATTAGAGATGGGAATCAACAGTTGATAACTGATAACTGACAGATATTAGACACAGTGCGTGGACCTAGAACAGTCTACCCCAGCGAGCAAAATAAAAGGTTCAGTTCGACATTCCAACCATATGGCAGCAAAGATGAGGACAGTAGTCCCAATAATGTAAATAGTGTACATAATACCTCATCTCAGAAATATAGACAGATACTGAAAGGCCGAAACGTTGTAAAGAATATGTCAACAAAGATGAGGACCATAGTCCGAATAATATAAATAGTGTACATAATACCTCATCTCAGAAATATAGACAGATACTGAAAGGCCGAAACGTTGTAATAAATATGGCGACAAAGATGAGGATAATAGTCCGAATAATGTAAATAGTGTACATAATACCTTATCTCAGAAATATAGACAGATACTGAAAGGCCGAAACGTTGTTATAAATATGGCGACAAAGATGAGGACAATAGTCCGAATAATGTAAATAGTGTACATAATACCTCATCTCAAAATATAGACAGATACTGAATGGCCGAAACGTTGTAATAAATAAAGATAGAGATGGTCGAAAGATGAATAGTTAAAACATAATAAAATCATCTCAAAATAGTCCGAATAATGATGAAATAGTCAGAATAATATAAATAGTGTATTATCTCAGAAATAGACAGATACTGAAAGGCCGAAACGTTGTAATAAATATGGCAACAAAGATGAGGAGGATAGTCCGAATAATATAAATAGTGTACATAATACCTCATCTCAGAAATATACAGATACTGCAACCTTACATTCTGTGCTAAAACTTTCTTTTCTCATACTTATCCACTACGGATACTTCAACTTAATATCAGACAGAGACAATTGAAATTTGAAGTGGACGTCATGATAATGTGAAATTTGAAAATTTGGTACTCAGAGGATAAAATGGAGGTAACAAGGACAAAAGATCACAACGCATGACCTACTTAGTGATCTTGCGTAAAGGATAACGGAACAAGGTTTAGCAAAAATGACAAAAAGACAAAACCTACAATGGAGAGGAAATTGTGGAGAGCCATGACCGTCTACGTCCTGTCGGGACGCGGGGAACCAGTATTGAACTCACTTCCAGTTTCTTGTTTCCTGTCTCTTAGAATCTTCAAAAATTAAAATAGAACGCCAATCGGCATCTTCTGTCTTCCTGAATTCTGTTTTTTATTTTTATTTTTTTCTGCCGACTAATGTCTTCTCACACTCAAGCAGTCCCAGAAACCCCCTTGCGTCCTAGTGGCATTATCGCCTTGCTTGGGGTGAAATGATATAAAAAATATTAATTTATTCGTCAGTGGTCTCGAATTAATTATCTCGATACGTCCGCTAAAGAATATGATGTACATTAGATATCTGTTCAGGAGCGGGAGTACAATTGCTGATTAAACAGGCTTAAAACTCAAATCTGCAAGTTTGGGGTCACCACTGCTGTGGCTTGGTATTGAAATCACATCTCTTCGGGTCTTGTCACTGAATCTAACAAACGTTTTTATACACTGGGCCAGTGGAGGACCAAAACATGCAGAATTGTGTTAAAGGGAAATTACTGAGGCATCCGGAAGAAGCATGGCACGTGGAACTCGATCAACTTAACCCGGTGGACGAAATAAAGTGTTCAGTTCGAAATTTTAATCATCTTTAGAAGGCCAGAGCAGAAACGTTGTGAATATGGCAATGAAGAGCAGGATAACAGTCCGAATAATGTAAATAATACAAGTAATCATAATACCTCATCCCAGAGATATAGACAGATATTGAAGGTATGGCACGTGGAACATGAACAATCTACACCGGTGGAGGAAATAAAGGGTTCGTTTCGAAATTCCATTCGCCTGAAGAAGGCCGGAATGTACAACGGCCGAAACATTGGGAATATGACAATGAAGGTGAGGTTAACATTTGATTAATGTAAATAATGTATTTAGTAATTTAAATTAAAATCCTAAATTTGCATCACTATTTGAACGTTTCCTCAAATGATATAAATTTGTGTTCTACCTCTTTTGGGGAAATTTCTAGAGGCCCTAATCAATTCTGGTTATGCATCTCACACAACGGTTTTTTATTTCGGACAAGCAATACGCCTTTCCTTTCTCTGTTTCAATTGCTGAAGGTCATTTCCGGAGGTCTATCAAACAGGAGATAAAAACAGTGAAATACAAGCTGTAGCTTTGGACATCCC